AAGGAGAAGAAGGGTAAGACTATGCATAATAAGAAGAGGATGAGGAGGAGAAATCAGAGGAGAGGAGGAAGAAGAGGAGGAAGAGGAATAAGAGAAGGAGGAGGAATAAGAGCAGGAGGAGGAGGAATATTCGGAGGAGGAGGAGGAATCATAACATGAATACTTGGCTTCAACAAAAGTTTCCTTGGAAACTCGCAAAAGGAATCATATGTATGTCAACCCGTCGGCATGATGAAAAGTCGCGCGCGCGTGCTCAGCGTTCGCACGCACGCGATCCCAACGTCCCATGGCCACAACATGCTTCCAGGAATGCCTCAGGCCACGGACGATAACGTCCAGAGGACCCAGGATGATGCCACCCCAACGCGATCCCGCCATGGATTCTGGACCGTCTCAGGCCGACTCGCAGATGACGAAACACATGAGCAACGCGTGACGCCGAGATGGCCCGATGGCAACAAGATGGATCCAAGCGCACCCAGGGTGGCCTCATAATGACCACGCGATGGTTGCGTGAACCAAACATGACCGGGATCTGATCTCAAGATGACCTCAAGACGACCCCAACACGGCAATAATACTGCAACTTATGAGCCCCATCTTACTTCGAGCCGATCCCAGCATGGTGGGATCCGTGAACGGCCCGGGATTTTGGTCTACCCGATTTTTGATGGATGGGATTTTGATCGTCCTGAACTAAACTTATAATATTAAAGCGGAATAAGCCAGGCGGGATCCCGCCCGGCCCACGGAGGAAGACAACATTGCTAGGCTTCTACGGGGGTAGGGGGTTCGGAAGGGGCGTCGTTTACTTCCGCTGACATTGGCAAGCCTTCTGGCGGCCTTCCCCCGTCTTCCGCCTCGTTCTACTTCCGTCGACTTCCGCCGGCCAGCGTCGTGATGAAAATTCCAGGAACTTTCATCGGGCCGATGTAGTAATAATACGAATCAGAATAATACTAAGAACAATACTACTAATGATAAGAAGAATAAGCATCATACGAATACTAGTAATATTAGTAGTAACAAGAAAACTAACGATACTACTAATACTAACAATCATACTACGCGTGCTAATACCCATACGACTAAGAAGAACAATGCTAAGACTAAGAAGAAGACGAGCACGACGAATACCACTAATACGAATACTACTATTAATAATACTGTCAATCATCAGAATAAGACGAATAACAGTACGCATAATACGGATACTATTGATACGAAGAATACGTATAGCAATACTAATAAGACTACCAAGAGTAACAATACGAATAAGCAGAAGAGTAGCGATACGAAGAAGACGAAGAGGAGGAGGAGGAGGAGGAGGAGGAGGAGGAGTATGAGGAGGAGGAATAAGAGGAGGAACACGTGGTGGAGGAGAAGAAGGAGGAGGAGGAGGAGGAGGAGGAATAAGAGAAGGAGGAGGAGGATGAGGAGGACGAGGAGGAATATGAGGAGGAGGAAGAGGAGGAGGAGGAGGAGGAGGAGGAGGAGGAGGAGGAGGAGGAGGAGGAGGAAACTTGGAGGGGGGGAACTGTCGTCTGGTCGACCCAAAAGGGGGTCCAGCTGCAAGGGGGTGGTGCAAAATATTTGGAGCAACTGTGTTGCAAATGTACTGCGCCGGAGAATTGTATTGCATTGTATTGCATGTAATGTATTGTACGCGGGAACCCAGCAATACATTTGCGCCCCAGAATGTATGGCACGCCCCAACTGTATTGCAACCCCGCAAATCTAGTGCACCACATCTATTGCACCACCCCCTCTTCGCTGGACCCCCTTTTAGGTCAACCCGACTTCTAGGCCTCGTAGATAGGGTCGGAGTAGATGGGGTCGGAGGATCGCGCCGCATCGCCGATGCATCGCTGATGCAGCTCGATGCGGAGCCCGATTTGCTTCACGTTGACGTCGCCGGTGCGTCGCCGACGTCGCCGATGCATCGCCGGTGCATCGCCGATGCATCGCCGATGCATCTCCGATGCATCGGCGATGTATTGGCGATGTGGCACGAGCCTTCGACCCTATCTACTCGGACCGCATCTAGTAGGCCTTTAAACTTGAAGGTTCGAGAATCGAGTTTCGAGGTTCGAGGCGGTTTTTCATAGTTTGCGGCCTCTGGGCGCCGCTTTCGGGCCCCCAGGGGCCCCCGAGGCTCGATACGGGGTTGAAGAGAACGGCGTCAGTTGGACCCGGGGAGGGGTCCGGGGACCGATCTTGACCGATATTCGGCGGCGCGCCCAGGGGTAGACATGAGAAAGAGGAGGCCTTCTCCCAGGCGATCGCAAACATGGGTCAAGGGGGCGTGGATTAGCGACGGGTCCCGTTTCCATGGGAAATCGCGGATTTCCGCCGCCGAGCGAGGCGGTACCAGCCGCATTTTGGGGAGGGCACCTCCCCCGATCCATGGATTTGGCGACCGCGCGTCGAATCCATGGGTTGCTAATCCATGTTTGCGCGTCCCCGATTCTCAGAAGGCGGCGTGGCTTCTCAGACGCCCTCGCGCATGCCTTCTGAGAAGTTTTCTGTGTCTTCTGGGAAGGCTTAGAAAACTTCTCGGAAGGCATGGGGATTCCGAGCCTTCTGAGAAGGCCCGCCCCATCTCACTTTCCCCCCAGGCTCGCCGCCAGCAGGAGCAGGAGGTGCCTATGCGAGTGGGGGCGGGGCAGGCCTAGCGTTGTCAGGTCTGGGATCTTTGGGGGGGGCCTTCGCAAGCTGGCTGGGGACGAAGCGCGGGGGTGGCGTGGGGTCGGAGGGCCCTGGCTCTTCGCGCTGCGGAGCGCAAAGAATTGGGCAGGCAGGTAAGATGCATTCGGGCCTCACTCTCTCTCTCTCTCTCTTTCAGTGTCTCTCTCTCTCTCTCTTTCACTATTGGCTTGAGCCTGTGAGTTTTGGCTGCTGCTGCTCGCCTCTGGATTTATTCCCAAAACAGAGCTTGCACTTAGGGCTTCTTATTTGTCTTCTAAGGAACTGGGCCAGTTGGGTGGTCTGGCGGCTATGTCGTCGCCGTCGCCGCCCCGTCGCCGTACCGTGTATGCACAACCACACATCTTGCACAACATTTGTTGCACAGCATGGATTGCACCACATATAGTGCATCGCGTAGATTGCAGTACATAGGTTGCATCCCATATATTGTCTCAAACTATTGCAGCACGTATATTGCATGATGCTTTGTTTCCGCGCCTGCGGCGCGATTTCTGATCCCCACAGTAAATATAACGCTCTATATATTGCACACCATAAATTGCATCACATGTATGGCACATCGCATACGTAGACATATATATATATATATATATATATATATATATGTATGTATGTATATATATGTATATGTACATACACACACGTATAGGTGTGTTGTCCAACAGCGCATAATATTGCACACCATGGACTTCTGGGCACACATTGCTTGGGGGCCACGCTGGCTAAGATGTTTTTTTTCTTGTGCTGTCTCGTCTTGTCTTGAGGACTGGGAGGGAGGGGGCTTCAAGGTGGGTATCGGGGGATGTTTGCGGCCGTCCCTTCGGCGGCCCAGACCATTCCTTCGGGCACGGCCAGGCGTCCGTCAGACCTCATCGCTGGGCAGCCCGAGCTGGTTTACAGTGCAGCAGGCGAGTGTAGCTGCAGCGTGGTCGGCGCGCCGCCGATGCCTCGTGCCACGCGGCTGTCATTTTTGATGAAGAGCTCGGTCATCATGTTGCGCAATGTGGGTATTCTTTTAACCTTGAGCCACGGCGTCTACGGTGCATCTCGGTCAGTCCAGTCCATGGCAGCCCCGTAGGGGCCACCTTGGCGTGTTAGTCTACGCGCCCTGGCATGACAAATTATGCTAGGATTTCCAAGCAACAGCAAGCGAAACAAACCTACAATGGAATTGCGCGTTGAGCCAGCTCATCTCCTCCCTCCAGCGGTGCTTGAACTCAGGGCTTTGTGCTCGCTTGGGGCGGAGTTGCTTCCGCTCGTAACGGCTTTCTGGTAGCCGTCTTTGGGGCCCCATGTCCTGGCGGTTCAGGTTGTTGCGATCTCCTGGTGGCGGTCTGCCTCCTTCTCCGTCTGCCTCCCCCTTGCCTCCCCTGTCTCTTCTAATTCCGCGCGTGCACTGAACCCATCATGTGTATGGTCCTCTGTGAGGGCCAGCGCGCTACAGGCGCGCCTGCCTCCCTTGCAGCGACGGCAGCTTCGTTCGTCTGTTCCTGGAGGTGGTCCACAGGGGTCCGGGGTTCAGCTCCCCCTGGCTGCTGCGATGTTGTGGTGGATGTACGCGGGGTCTCGGGGCCCGATGCCTCGGGCTGTCGCGATCTCCTGGCGGCGGCCCGCGAGGCTCCGGGGTCCCGCTGCCCCCAGTTCTTGTGGCGGCATTGAGCAATTACGTAGGTGGAGCAAGGCCGCTACAGGCTAGCCACGGCTGGGGGTGCTGCGTTCTTTACCCCCAGGGGCGTCCATCGGCTTCGCCACCTCGCTCGAGAGACTTTCGATGCGATGGTTCTCCAAGGGGGCGCGGTCTTCTAAGAAGACCGCCTGTACCATTGCCAGATCTTCTTCGCGTTCAAGACGGGTCACGGGTCGGGTCTTTGTCTCTGTCTCTGTCTCTGTCTCTGTCTCTGTCTCTGTCTCTGTCTCTGTCTCTGTCTCTCTCTCTCTCTCTTTCTCTCTCTTCTTCTCTCATGCATTATATATATATATATCGGACTGGTGGAGGAGGAGGGCCGCTACTCCAGCCACCAATTGGCTCTCGGCTGTGCGCAGGGCTCCAGTCACCCGCACTCTTTTTGACCTTAAGCCCTTCCGTTGATTGCAAGGCCGCCATTTGCCTGCGAGGGATGAAAATCACGATAACGATGACGATGATGATGATGATGCTGATGATGATGATGATGATGCTGATGATGATGGCGATGATGTCGATTATGATGATGCTGATGATGATGATGATGCAGATGATGATGATGATGATGATGATGATGATGATGATGATGATGATGATGATGATGATGATGGCGATGATGCTGCTGATGATGATGGTGAGGAGGATGCTGATGTTGATGATGATGCTGACGCTGACGATGATGACGATGATGCTGATGCTAATGATGCTGATGATGCTGATGATGATGGTGATGCTGGTGGTGATGATACTGTTGATGCTGATGATACTGGGGATTATGCTGATGCTGATGCTGCTGATGATGCTGCTTATGCTGATGCTGATTTTGATGATGATGCTGATGCTGACGCTGATGATTATGATGCAGATGATGATGCTGATGCTGATTCTGGTGTTGCTGGTGATGATGATGCTGATGATTATGACGATGATGCTGATACCGATGCTGATACTGCTGCTGATGATGATTTTGATGCTGGTGATGATGATGCTGATGATGCTGATGCTGATGCTGACGATGATGATGCTGATGCTGATGCTGATGGTGATGACGATGATGATGCTGCTTATGCTGGTACCAATGTTGATGATTGTGCTGATGCTGACGCTGATGATGATGCTGCCGATGATGGTGCTGATTCCTGTGATGCTGGTGATTATGTTAACGATGATGCTCCTGCTGCTGCTGATGAGGCTGCTGCTGCTTGTGACGATGATGATGCTGATGATGATGATGCTGCTGATGCTGACGATGGTGATGATGCTTTCGGCGCTTGTGGCGATGCTGATGGCGGTGATGATGATGATGATGATGCTGATGATGATGATGATGATGATGATGATGATGATGCTGATGCCGACGACGTTGATCCTGATGATGGTGATGGATCTGCTGCTAATGTTGTTGCTGCTGATGATGATGCTGATGATGCTGATGATGATGAGGATGATGAGGATGCTGATGATAATGACGATGATGACGATGATGACGATGATGCTGACGCTGATGACGATGCTGCGGATGCGGCGGATGCTGATGGTGATGATGATGTTGATGATGATGATGGTGGTGTTGATGATGAGGCTGCTGCTGATGCTGATGCTGATGCTGACGCTGATGATGCTGATGATGCTGATGATGTGGTGGATGATGCTGCTGATGATGATGAGGATGATGATGAGGATGATGATGCTGATGCTGATGATGCTGCTGCTGACGATGATGGTGCTGATGATGAGGATCAGGATGAGCATGAGGATGATGACGCTGCTGATGATGCTGATGATGCTGATGATGCTGCTGATGATTATGATGATGCTGATGGCGATATGGTGATGATGACGATGATGATGCTGATCATGCTGATGATGATGCTGATGCTGATGCTCATGATGATGCTGCTGATGATGCTGATGATGATGTTGATGCTGCTGCTGATGATGATGATTCTGCTGCTGCTGCTGCTGCTGCTGCTGATGATGATGATGATGATGATGATGATGATGATGATGATGATGATGATGATGATCGTCGGGATATCGTGGGACTCCTCTCGGGGTCTCGTTTGAGGGCCCTCTGGAGGCCTCTTGCAAGTTTCTTGGGGGCCTCTTGGAGCTTCTTGGAGGCCTCTCTGGGTCTCCTGGGAGCCTCTTCGGGCGGAAGGCTGGAATTGTAGGTTCGTGTTCCCCCTCTTGGGCCCCTCTTCGGGCCGTCGTGGGGCTCTCTTGGGCTGATTTGACAGCCTCTTGGGCCGTTTTGGGGCCCTCTTGGGCCGTCTAGGAACCCTCTTGGTGGACTTTTTGGGCCGTCTTGGGGCTGTCTTGGGGGCCCCTGGGGTCGTTTTGGAGCGTCGGAAGCTTGAAACGGGGATAACGTAACAGTTCTATAATACACGATGACATTCATTGATGTTTGTTTCTTGGGGCCCTCGTGGGGGGTCCTCTTGGAGCGCTCTCAGGGCTTCTTTGTGGCCTCTTAGGCGGTCTTGGAGGCATCTTGGGCAATCTTGGCTGCCTTGGTGGGCTCCCAGGTCCATGTAGAAAACCATCTTGGGCATTATGGACGCCTTGGAGAGCGCCAGGGACGTGTCTGGGCGCCGACAGAGCTTCGGGAAGACGGAGTGGTGCCCGGATGGGGGCAGGATCCCTTAGTTTCAGAAATCTTGTCAGGCAGCACTTGGTATTCTACCACGCCCGAACGTGCCAGGGGGCACGGTGGCGCATAGATATATTGATAGATGTAAATGCAGGTGCACCGGCAGACTGCGAGGAGGCAAGCGGCAGGAATGGGAGGAGAAAGGATAGCATAATGTTGCTGCTGCTGCTGATGCTGATGACGATGATGATGATGCTGATGATGATGCTGATGATGCTGATGCTGATGATTATGATGATGATGATGATGATGATGATGATGATGATGATGATGATGATGATGATGATACTGATGATGATGATGATGATAATGCTGTTGATGACGATGACGATGCTGATGATACGGATGACGATGATGATGAGGATGATGCCCGTGGTGATGGTGATGGTGGTGGCGATGGCGATGGCGATGGCGATGGCGATGATGATGGTGGTGGTGATGTTGATACTGGTGGTTGTGGAATTGTTCTTATTATTGTTGTTGTTGTGGTTGTTGGTTGTTGGTTGTTGTTGTGGCTGTGGTGGTGGTTCTGGTTGTTGTGGTTGTTGTTGATGATGATGATGCTGATGATGTTGTGGTTGTTGTGGTTGTTGCGTTTATTTTGGTTATCGTGGTTGTTGTTGGTGGTGAGGAGAAGGAGGAGGAAGAGGAGGAGAAGAAGAAAGAGCCTGGAGGGCAGGAGGCGGGCTGTGACAGGCGGGAGGCGGGAGGCGGGATGTCGCGTGAGGAGCTGAAGGAGGGGGGGGGTGCAGTGCATGGTGCCAAGGCGCTGCAGGTCACCATGGGCCCGCTCATCATGGGCTGCCTGCTGGTGTGGCAGGCGGCTCCACGGGGCCGCCCTGCCAGCCGCCCGTGACGGCACCGCAAGCCTCCCACGGGCCGAGGGACCAACCAGGGTGCACGACGTCGTCGTCGTCGTCGTCGTCGTCGTCGTTGTTCAGGGTCGGCGGCACCAGCCGTTGTCTGCCTGGACCTCCAAGCCGAGCCCGAGCCTGAGCTCGAGCCCAGGTGGAGCCCGAGCCTCCAGGCCTCCTAGAGAGCGTTTTTTTTACTCTGGCGGGTAACGCTTGTTACCCGGGCCCACCCCCCTCCGTAACGCAAACGATCGTACGTTTTTTTGGGTGGAGGGCGGACCCCCTCCTCTCAGCAGGTATTGCAGTTGATGTGCCGATGGCGCGGACGCACCCTGGCGCACCCTGGCCGCCGTTACTGCTGCCCGCCGGCCCAACCCCCCCTGGGTAACCGCCGTTACCCAAAATAATGAAAACAGTCTCCTGGATGGGGTCCGAGCAGATGGGGTCGGAGGATCGCTCCACAGCGCCGCTGCATCGCCGATGTGGCTCGATGTGGAGCCCGATTTGCTTCACGTCGTCGTCGCCGATCTATCGCCGACGTCGACGATGCATCGCCGATGCATCGCCGGTGTAATGGCGATGTACCTGACCTCGGAGACCTCCGCTGCGAGCCAGTCACTGCCGCCCCCTAGAAGGTATTCCGTGTGATCTGCGCATCATTTGTGGGCGTTGTGGAAGCAGCCGATCCCGTGAATGGGGTCCCAGCATGGGGCTCGGGGGCCCATGCTGGGCGCACAAGTCACGCATCCAGGCGTGCGCCGCGGAGGCCTCGTCGACCGCGGTGGCGCCCGAGAGGCGTCCACTACGGAAGCCGAGGCGACCTTCAGGTCTCAGATCGCACGGAAGTCGAGATTGCCGGTTTCTGGGCGTTTTCGTTTCCAGAGGCTGGAACGTCAAGAAACGACTCGGGATGAAGGGCTGGTCCCTGGGAAAGAGGTGGGGATCCCCGGCGGCCCGCGTCGCGAAAAGCATCGGGAGCGTTGAGACGGGGGTCAATTCAAACGGGGGTCAGCCAAAGCGCCTGATCTTGCAGGATCCTGCAGGGCCAGGGTCGCATTGACCCAGGTTTGGGTGCAGGATCCTGCAGGATCTTGCAGGATCCTTTGCATTGACCCGGGTTTGGTTGCAGGGTCTCGCAGGATTTTGCAAGGCCTGACTGACCCGGGTCTGGATTGATTCCGGTCGGCAGATCCCCGAAAGCATGTGCAGTCAGAGGGGAGACGCACTCCGCGCTCGCGCTCGCGCGCTGGGCTCTCGAGAGGCCTGGCCGCGAGCGCTGCCAGGCGGAGACCTCGCCCCCTCCGCGGCGCGAGGCCTGCTCGGCCGCAGGGGCCCGCCCGCCACGACGGACGGGGCCGCGCGCTCCGCGCTCGTGTGCGCCCTCGGCTCCTCGGAGTGCCCAGCCAGCGAGCAAGAAGTCGGGCACGCCCCTCGACAGGAGGAATAACCAAACACAGTAAACACATGCTCGGGGGACGATTTGCCGAATCTTCTTCGGGGTTGTTATGCTTGATTTGTTCTGTTTTGTCGAACAGATCCCTCAGACATTCGCCTGCAGGGGGACGCGCCCGACCTAAAGCGAGCATGCAATTGCGACGATTTTCTCTTGGGCGGGGCACGGCAGCAGAGTCTGGTGGCTGCGTCGTCTGTGGCCCGCATCACGGCGCGCCGGTGCCGGTGTGCCACAGGGTCGTGCACCCCCGTCCTTGGTGTCTCGACATGCCGGAGGCGTGCAGGGAGTGGTCGCCGGTTGGTTCTGGCAGTGGCGCCTTAAGCGTTGACACATGTCTGGCTCAATCTGGCCACCACGATTCCCGAGCGCATGCGATGCCCAAAGTTCGAAGTCTCACACCCAGCTGCATTTGAATTTGAATTCATGTCCCACGAGAAGTCAGAATATGGTGTAGACCTTGGGAAGTTTAGCCGACGTGTCAATGTGCGGCTTGTGCGACAGTGTACAAGGTCAAGGGGGATCCGTGGAGAGAATGTGTTTGAAGAGACGGTGTTTGATAGATATTCCAATCCACATCCTGTTGCCATACTACAGTCTTGTCCGTTGACAAAGTATCTCAGGCAGTCGTTGACATCAACTTGACGAACCGTGGCGTCAGCGCCGAGCATTGCCAAGCTAGCGTAGCAGCTCACCATATAAATTCAGTGATCCAACTGTTGTCTAGCCGTCTAGCCAGTCAACCTGCGAGCATTAACCCCCAGGAAGCAATCCAACAGCAGCGCGACTCGAGTCGCCCCTGAAGTGTCGCCCTGGGCGATTCCACCCGCCTCCATGAGACACGGCGCCGCTGTGCCCGAACAACTGCCGCTCGACGTGCCCCTCGCGACAACGAGTGACCGCGCGCACATCCAGGAGAGCAAGCTGCCGTGGCGATGGCATTCGCTCGGGAATCCATCCCAGGTGTGCCGTGTTCACCGAGCGCGTCCCACTACTCGCAAAGTGCCTACTCGCAAACGACCGAAAAACATATGTCTTCTTTGATGTTATTCATCGTAGATCCCCCGCGGCGGATCCAGGCCATTTGCGAGTAGTTACTTTGCGAGTCGTGGAGCGCGCTCGTCTGTGTGTCCGAGCTCGCCATGCCTCGTGAGGGCGCAGCCACGATCCGCACCACTGCTGCACAGGGAGACCTCTTCTCTGCCGGTGCCCGCTGGATTCTGCCGTGGCGACCCCCGTGCTCGGTCGCGGTCGCGCTGCAGGCTTTTCGCATAGATTCGGGTCCGCTCGACGCCTTCTGCCCCGACACCCAACGTTGGGTGGCCACGGCGAAGCTCTCGGGCATTCTCTCCACTCCCAGGGGGGTCCATAGCGCGCGTTATGCCCCCTGCCCTCCCCCCCCCCTTCCCTTCCCCCCCTAAAGCAGCGCTCCTCCCCTCAGTGCGTCCCCGGCATTGCCGCACCCTGATCATTTGATACTGGAATTTTCCAGTCGCGACCGACGAGAACGGTCGCTACCAATTTTTGTTTCAAATTTCAGTATCGATCGCGACCGATTTGCTTCAAAATCGGTCGCGGACCAATCGGTCGCGGTCGGTGGCGACCCGTCGCGACCGATTCTGGGATCGGTCGCGATCGGACGCGACGGATTTGAAGTGCCGATCGGTCGCCACCGATCGCGAACGAACAAACTCGGCATCCAATGATCTGGGCAGTGCGCCCAGCACCACAGTCTGCGGGGGGGGGGAGGGCGCTACGTGATGGATGCCCCCTCCTCCCTTCCCCCCCTCTCCCTCCCCCTCCTCCCCCCTCCCCCCATAACGCCCCCTCCTCCCCCCCCCCTCCTCCCGCCCTCCCCTCTCCCTCCCCCTCCTCCCCCCTCCCCTCTCCTCCCCCTCCCCCCCCCTCTCCCTTCCTCTCCTCCCCCCTCCCCCCCCACAACGCCTGGCAGGGCCGCGGATAAACACCTGCGCTCGAAGCTCGACCCTCGCTCTCTGCGCCCCCAGCGATCCGCTGCCGTGACCTGCTCCATACGGGGCCCCCGGAAGTCTCGACCCACTCCCCAGGAGGAGGAGGGGGAGGAGGGGGAGGAGGAGGAGGAGGAGGAGGAGGAGGAGGAGGAGGAGGAGGAGGAGGAGGAGGAGCAGGAGGAGGAGGAGGCGGAGGAGGCGGAGGAGGAGGAGGCGGAGGGCCGGTTTTCCATCCCGCGTCGGTGTTTGACGGTGCCCGTTCCCGGCGAGGTCCCCCGGAGGCCGAGAGCTCTGGATTTTTTCCCTGCGTCGGAGCTCTGGGCCTCTCGCGACCCCCTCCCGCCCCCCCCCCCAGGGGGGGGGCCGGGCTGCCGCCCCGGCGTCGGGGCCGGGCCCCTGGGCCGGGGAGCGCGGCCATCGCGCCAAGGGGCCGCGAGAGAGCGTGAAAAATGATCACCAGATCTACTGAGCCTCTACGCCCCCCAGTCTCTGGGCGGACCGCCGTCGCCGAATTGTTTTTAAGAAGTGCACCTGGTGTTCGGGGCCGCCGCCGCTGCCGCGAGTTTGCAGTGGGGTCTCTGGCCGAGCTCGCTTGCCGTCGAAATGCGAGAGGGGCATCGGTTGTTTGTATACTTAATTGCCTTCAGCCTACCCCGCCATCGCGCCTGGGTCGCGGGCCAGAGGCCTCTTCGCAGTTGCGCGTTTGCTCTCTTCGTTTGGGGGGTTCGGGCCCGGGGCGGGTCGAAGCAGAATTGTGGTGTTCAATTCGTCGCGGTTGCGCGGTTGTTCCCTCTGTGTGGGGGGGTCGGGCTTGAGGGGGGTTTTAAGCAGAACTCCTCTGTGTAATTTGTCGCGGTTGCGCGGTTGCTTCTATTTGCGTAGAGAGTTCGGACCCAGAGGGGTCAGCGACGGCGAAGCGGGATATTCCCGAAAATATTCCGCAAACATGTTTGGTTGCGTTTCGGGTGCGCACTCGTGGGTTGAAGGTTTCATTTGGTTTTGGACGCGACTGCGGGCGTTTTCGGATCAGATAACGGAGGAACATATTTAATTAGATTGCGGCATCGGATTCAGGCTCGTACTTCGCGGCCCGACGGCATTCAAGTCAGAAGCAGTTGTTACAATAATGCATGCGCGCAGAGTCCGTCGCCGCCGTTTTTACATTGTCACCTTAGCCTGTGCGCGCGGCCGCCGCCAGTTTTTTGTAACACGTACTTGGTGTCCAGGGCGTTGCCCGCCAGATTTTGGGACCCCCCCGCATCGTGCTTTGTGTTTTTTCGTCGCCGCCGTGGGAATCCTCGCAAGTACTTGTCCTAGAGTCTCGACCGGGTGATGAAAAATGTGCCGGCCTTCGCGCCGGCTTCATCGCGGTCTCTCTGCGGCATGGAGCTCGAGGGCGGCAAAAAGGGGGGGTGGGTGATGACTAGGGGGGGTGGATATCATGGCGTGGGCCATGATATTTCGCCAGATCTCATGGCGCCTCTTCTTATTCCATTACGTCCCTGGCCCCCCCCTGGGCCGCGCACATGCCGCCGGCCATGATTTGCGCCCCCCCTCTTGGACGCCCCCCCCCTTGGCCGCTCCCGAGGAACCTGCAAGAGAAGATGTGCACACGTATCAGGCGATCGCAAACATGGCTCAAGGGGGCGTGGATTAATTAGCAACGGGTCCCGTTTCCACGGGAACTCGCGGATTTCCGCCGCCCAGCGAGGCGGCACCAGCCGCATTTTGGGGAGGACACCTCTTCCGATCCAGGGAATTGACGACCGCACGCCAAAATCCATAGATCGCTAGTCCATGTTTGCGCGCCCCCGAACATAGGGGAACGAACAATGACATAAACCGAAAAATTCGGAGGTCCGCGCGGATTTCTTGGATCGGCGCTGGACCCCCCTCCCTGGCGTGCGGAGCGCGCCAGGGGCGGCGCCGGAGGCGCCGCCAGGGGGCTCCAGCGCCGGTGCGAGGAATCCGCGCGGACCTCCGAGTTTTTATGTTTATGTCACTGTTCGTTCCCCTACCACTGGGATCTCTCCCCGCGTCGTCGCCCTCTTGTGGCGCCCAGCGGCGCGCGGGGGCGGCCCGTGGAGGCACTCCCCCCCACTCCCGTCGAGGAGGAGGAGGAGGAGGAGGAGGAGGAGGAGGAGGAGGAGGAGGAGGAGGAGGAGGAGGAGGAGGAGGAAGGGAAGGAGGAGGAGGAGGAGGAGGAGGAGGAGGAGGAGGGGAGGAGGAGGAGGAGGAGAGGAGGAGGAGGAGGAGGAGGAAGGGGAGGAGGAGGAGGAGGAGGAGGAGGAGGAGGAGGAGGAGGAGAGGAGGAGGAGGAGGAGGAGGAGGGAGGGGGAGGAGGAGGGAGGAGGAGGAGGAGGGGAGGAGGAGAGGAGGAGGAGGAGGAGGAGGTGGAGGGGAGGAGGGAGGAGGAGGAGGAGGCGGAGGAGGAGGAGGAGGCGGAGGAGGAGGAAGAGGAGGAGGAAGAAGAGGAGGAGGAGGAGGGCTTCCTTTGGGGGCCCCAGGGGCGGCCGCACTGGCAGGGGCGGGGGCGTGGCGGGGCGTGGCATGGCGGGCTCCGTCGTCGCCGTCGCCGTCGCCGTCGTCGTTGCCGTTGCCGGCGCCGGCGCCGTCTCCGTCGCCGTCGCCGTCGCCGTCGCCGTCGCCGTCGCCGTCGCCGTCGTCGTCGTCGTCGTCGTCGTCGTCGTCGTCGTCGTCGTCGGCGTCGGCGTCGGCGTCGGCGTCGGCGTCGGCGTCGGCGTCGGCGTCGGCGTCGGCGTCGTCGTCGGCGTGGTGTGGCGTGGCCTGGCGTGGCGTGGCGTGGCGTCGAGGGTCCCTCCTTATTCCCGCGCTCAAGAGGTCCTCCGCGTAGCGCCTCGCCTGCGTGCGCGCCGCCCCGCCCGCGGCGCCGAGTACCTCAAGAGAAGGATGCAGGGCAAGTGCGGCGGCGAGCTGCACAGCCACATCTGGAAGTTCATCTCCAAGGCAGAGGCCAGGGACAAGGCGCGCCGGGGGAGGGCGCGGAGGCGCGTCCGCGGGCGGCACATCGGGTGCTGCTAGAGGTGCCCCCAGCCTCAGGTGCCCCCAGGATCTCCAGGGAGGCCCCCCCACGGCCTCCAGAGCACCCCAGCACGAGGCCCAGGGGGCCCCAGGGGCCTCCAGCATCTAGCGAGAAGCTGGGGGCACCTTGGGCCAGGGGCACCGTGAGCAACCCCCGCCTACACAGTACGCCGACAGGGTGGGACTGGCCCAGGGTGTGGGGGAGCATCGGCCCCCCATCGCCCATGCATCGCCAGCCGCAATCTGGTTGCCCCACCCCGTCCGGGAAAGCACCGCGCATCTGTTCTGTTTTGTACCCGTGCTCGTGGCCGGCTTTTACCGTGCCGTATTTGTTTTGTACCGTGCCTGGGGCCGCTTTGTACCACGCACTTGTCCCTTTTGTACGGCGCCCGGGGCCGTTTTCCACCGCGTGATTTTCCGTTTTCTGAATCGTTTGGGGCCGCTTGTGTGCCGCGCATGCTTGTTTTGTTTTGTACCGTGCCCAGGAACATTTTGCAGCGCGCCACTTTCCATGTTGCACGGTTTCGCTATCCACGCACGGCCCACCGCCGATCTATCGGCGATGCATCGTCGACTCCAAATCAATGCTTCCCTCCCCCGAGCCAGTCCCCCCTGTGGTACACCACCATGCCTCCCCAGGGCCATCCAAGGCCCTGGCACGGTGCATGGACCCTCCTGGTCTGGGTCAGGAGGGTCTGTGCACCATCTTTGTCTGGGACCCAGGGTGGGCCCTGGCCAGGCACGGTGGTGGTGCTGGTGGTGGTGGTGGTGTACACCTGCCTTCTGCGGAGGAGGAGGAGGAGGAGGAGGAGGAGGAGGAGGAGGAGGAGGAGGAGGAGGAGGAGGAGGAGGAGGAAGCCTCCAACCATTCGGTGAATGGGTAGCTCGTGAAAGCAGATGGTTGCCACGAGGGGGGGAACGATCATCACCCGGTACCGGGCCACAGGCATGCCTTTGGCAGGGGAGGGAGGGCATCGGTGTAACGGGGCCAAGTCACGCATGCGAGGTGGGAGGAAGTGGAAATTACGAGGTGGACTGCGGTCACCATGACGTTTAAGGAGCAATGCCATGAGCGTCAACGGAATAATTCGTTTGGCGAAGGACCCAACCATATGCAGTTGTGAGTACCGCAGTTGTGGGTATCGCCTTCGGTGGAGTTCCCTATGGGGCCACGAAGCGCTGTACTGGGAGGGGGAGGCGCATGCGAACTGCGCCACTGGGACCTACAGTGGAACCCCCTCTGGGGCCACGAATCGCTGTACTGGTTGGGGGAGACGCATGCGAACTGCGCCACTGGGACCTTCGGTGGAGCTTCCTCTGGGGCCATGAAACGCCTTACTGGGTGGGGGAGACGCATGCGATCTGCGCCACTGGGACCTTCGGTGGAGCTCCCTCTGGGGCCACGAAACGCTGTACTGGGTGGAGACGCATGCGAACTGCGACGCTGAGACCCTCGGTGGAGCTCCCTCTGGGGCTACGACGCGTTGTACTGGGTGGGGGAGACGCATGCGAACTGCGCGCCACTGGGACCTTCGGTGGAGCTCCTTCTGGGGCCACGAAGCGCTGTACTGGGTGGGGGAGACGCACGCGAACTGCGTCTCGCGCCACTGGGGTCTTAGGTGGGGCTTCCTCTGGGGCCTCGTACTGGTGTGCTGTGGGGGGGGAGCGCATGCGAACTGCGTCACTGGAACGTTTGGTGGGACTCCGTATGGGGTCACGCAGCGCCTTACTGGGTGGGGTAGACGCATGCGAATAGTGCCACTGGACACTTCGGTGGAACTCCCTGTGGGGCTGCGAAATGCTGCGCTGACTGGGGGGGACGCATGCGAACTGCGCCACTGGGACCTTCGGTGGAGCTCCTTCTGAGGCCACGGAACGGTGTACTGGGTGGGGGAACGCATGCGAACTGCGCCACTTGGACCTGCGTTGGAGCTCCCTCTGAGGCCACGAAGCGCTGTTCCTGGGCTGCGTGGGTGGGGGGGTGGGGGGAGAGGGAGGAGAGGAGAGGAGAGGAGGAGAGGAGAGGAGAGGAGGAGGAACGCGGGGCGTTGTCTCTTCAAAACGAGGACCCAACACTACATGATGTTTGGGAAAAGCAGGGACGACTGACTGATCCGCAGTCAGGCCTGCGTGGGCGAGGAAGAGGATAATCATGACGCGAGCAACGAGGAGCACGGGCGCGACGAGACACAAGGTCCTGCGGTCGCCAGACGGGACAAAGGACATGATTAAATGCGCTTCAGGCAGCGAGAAAGCTGATGCGATGGCCGCGAGGTAGGTGAAGGTCACGAGGTCGAACAACTATAACCATGCGTGCGAGTGGGGACCGCGGGCGTTGGGAGCGGGGTGGGTGCGAGGGTCGTCGGAGAGGGGCAGGGGTCAGTGCGACGAGGGGGCGACGCGGATGACCGCGAGAGGGGGTGAAGGTCATCGCTCGGACAAGGGGCGGCAAGCCCTGCCGCGAGAAGAGGGGCGCGCAATTAGAATTTTGCGTCGTGGCCGAAGTTTCAAAACCTCTTGAGTGCCTTTGGGGCCTCTGCGCCGACTAGGGCCCTTTCGGAAATCTTTGGGGCGTTGTGGGGGCCGCGCGCGCCAACTCTGAATCAATTAACACGTTTGTAATACTTTGCAGCTCTCTTGGTCGCTTTGTGGTCGGTGACCGACGATGACTATGACTAATGTCCGCTCGTTTTGGAGATGACTTGGGTGTTGTTAAGGCGCCTGTAAGGGGGGGTCTAAGCTTGAGTGGGCTTTGGAGGGTCTTGGGCTGGCATGCAGCTGGCCCGTGACGTTGGGGCGAACATTGAAGACGATGGCGAAGTAGGAGGTGTGACAGAAGATGCGTTGCAGGAGAAAAATGAGGAGGACGAGTCGTAGCCGACTGGATCACTCGTTTCGGAGGTGGCCTGGGTGTTGTTTGGGCGGCTTGAGGGGGGGTCTCAGATTTGAGGGGGCTTCAGGGGGCCTTGGCGTTTATTGAGACGACTGGCTTGCAACTGGCCGACGCGAGGAACCGAATGCCCCCGATCGTACAACATACCCCTCCCCGCCCCCCCCTTCCACAAACTTCATGACTATCGCGGGCCAAAACAGGTTTCGGGTCTGAACAGTATCGCCGGAGAAAAGTGCCGATCATGGATTTGATCTTCTTGCCATGAGTCGCAGTGTCAGCACCATCGGCGTCATCATCATTCCCTCTCCGTGACTTTTCCCCTTTTTATTGTTTTTTTGTCCTCTCTTCTTCTACGTTTTCTCCGTGTCATCCTTTGCCCCTCCTCCTGCTCCCCTTCTCCTCCTTTTTTCCCCCCTTGCCCTCCCGATCCCCGATTTTGAATCCCCGGGTTTTTCCACCATGGACACCACCACGCGACACCAAAAAACAGCAACGCGAATTATTATGCTCTTGTTCAGTTCGAGCTTGATCGGTCCGATCTGTTTCGGAATCCTTCCCCCATCCATCCTCCTCTTCCCTCGTCCTCTGTCTTCTTCTCTTGTTATCCCTTCTCTTCCCTCCTCCTTCCTCTTCCGTCTGAACGAGCATGGTATCGCTATACCGTCGCATTTCTTAGGCTTCGTGCTCGTCCTTCCCATCCGTACACACCGTGCGTTCCGAAACATGTCTCGACACCCCGTGCATCCCTACACACCGAAACATGTGTCGACACTCCGTGTATCCGTGCAGTCCGAAAAAACTCCGTTCCTTCCTGCTCCTTCTCCTCTTCCTCCTCCTCCTCCTCCTCCTCTCCCTCTATGCTTCGACCTGCCGGGGAAAGTATTATCCTTCTTGAGCCCCGAACTTCATTATCCCCACCCTGTGATGATCGGGGGCGCTCGGTCAGAAATGAGCTGCGTCGGGGGATCAGGCGGCAGCCGCCCAAGGAAGCGGGGGGATGGGGGTTCGTGGTCGTATCGCCAGGGCCGGCGTGCCGCCATGGCGGCGCACCCTCTGACCTGCTTCGTGAGCTCGGGGCGTCTTGGGGGTGCCCGGCGGGGCCTCGCGGCGCGTGTCCGTGGGGTCCCCGTGGATCGGGGACCGCTGGAAGCCTCGCTGGGTACGCCGTGCAGGACATCAGCGCGAGGCCTCCCATACGCTTCCAGGGCCTGTTTTCCACCACCACCACCACCATAAGTTGGAGGGGGGAGAATCCTCCTCCCCCTCTTCTTCTCCGTCCTCCTCCTCCTCCTACTCCTCCTCCTCCTCCTCCTCCTCCTCCTCCTCCTCCTCCTCCTGCCGAGGCCGGGGCTGGTCCTGGCCCTCGTGCCAGCTGCAGGCGACCCCGCGGGTGCGAGTCTGCGCGGGGCCCCTGCGCAGGGCCGCCCTGTGCACACTGGAGCCGCGGCCGAGGAGGTCTGGACCGCGAGGCCGTTGTGGATCGTGCTCCCCGCCCACGGGGCGGAGAGGCAGGCACCCGACGATGTGGGCCTTGTCCTGGGGCGACGAAATCTATGCACGTCCACTGCTCCTCCTCCTCCTCCTCCTCCCTCCTCCTCCTCCTCCTCCTCCTCCTCCTCCTCCTCCTCCTCCTCCTCCTCCCCCTCGCGTTTCGTGCTCGGGCATGCTCGTCGCTCGCGGCCGCTCGCTGCACCTCCCGCGTGCCCACCTCCCCCCTGCCCCTGGCGCACGGGGCGCGGCGGCCCCCCGGACTCTGCCCGGGGGCGCAGCGGCCCGCCCGCGGTGACGAGAGCGGCCGCGGAGGGCCCACGACCCACCGAGGTCGCGGACTTCGAAATCTCTCGACCCTCCACTGACGAACGAACAACGCACACCCGTACCCATAAGGGGGGTATCGTGGGGAGGAGGACTGGCTATGGGTATGGGTGCGGGTTGTCGGACCCTGGGGAGCGCTCCCGTTCGAGCGGGGCCCCCCCATCCGACAACACGCACCCATAGCCCTCTCCGACTGGGTGTGTGTTGTTGGTTCGTCATCCATCCAGGATCCCGGAGATCCGTTGCCTGGACTTGTCCCGTGCCGTGCTTCTGCTCGCCAGAACGACCTTGTGCATCTGGTTGCCGGGTGGAGCCCCGGCGACGTCGCTGATTCCGAATGTTGCCAAGGCCGAAGCGTTCCAGAGGCAAGCCATGCGCGACTTGGGACCGCTTCCAATTGACGGTTTTCCAGCCGAGCCCAGTATTGGACCAGGCCTAGTGCTCGATCGGGGAGTGTGTGGTGCGTGTGTGGCCCGCTTAGCTTCGACTGGAAGAGGGTGCGCTCTCGACCCGCGAAAAAACAAATATGTGTGTGTGTGTGTGTGTGTGTGTGTGTGTGTTCGTGAGTGTGTGTGTGTGTGTGTGTGTGTGTGTGTGTGTGTGTGTGTGTGTGTGTGTGTGTGTGTGCGCTTCTTTTCGCTGCGGGCCACCGGCCCCTCTCCCCAGGGCGCACTCTTCGTCTCGAGTCGTCTCCTGACGGCAGAGGCCCACCACAGCCACAACTTTCGGCCTCGGCTGTCGTCTCGGACTCTTCGGCCCTCGATCCTCAGAGGAGGCAGAGGCACCCACACCGCTACCCTTGCCTCGGTGTCGCCCTTCTGGGCCTCCTGGGGGAGCCCTCGTCGCCACCGCTGGACTCGCCTCGAAGTTCTGATCAGAACGCACCCCGGGAGAGGTCCGAGGAGTAGCGGTGTCGGTGCCTTGTGGCTTCCCCACGGGTCTTGGATCCTCGCTCCCCCCGCGCCCTCCCTGCCGTGGCAGACTTGGGGGAACGATAGGGGGTTAGGCATAGGGCGGGATGCATTGACCCCCAATCGCCCATGGATCGCCGATACGGGCTCCTCCTCCTCCTCCTCCTCCTCCTCCTTCTCCTCCCCCTCTTCCTCCTCCTCCTCCTCCTCCTCCTCCTCCTCCTCCTCCTCCTCCTCCTCCTCCTCCTCCCCCTTCCTCCCGTTTCGTGCAGCACCCCCGTCCTCCTCTTCCTCCTCCTCCTCGGCCTCCTCCTCCTCCTCCTCCTCCTCCTCCTCCTCTTCCTCCTCGTGGATCTGCCATCAGGAGCCTATTGTCGATCTGTCGGCGACGTCTCGTCGATCCCAGGTTCGATGTCCCCCCCCCTATGCCGGCCCCTCCCTTCTAGTTACCCCTCGCAGACGGGCCGCATCGTGCAGTACGGCTGCAGGGCCATCCAGGGCTTCATGGAGCTCCTCGCCCCCGAGCACCCGCTGCAGACCTGGCGGAAGACCGTGGCCGAGGCGGCGGGCCCTCGTGGCTGGCGTCGCTGCCGCGCTGCCGCCGCCCGGCTGCTCGCAGGCGTCCCATCGCCGCGCTCGGGGTCCTCCCAGACTTACGTCGGGCCTGTCCCCCATAGAGGAGGTTTTCGACGGAAAAAAAATACACCAGAAATGCTCCAAAACGGTCAAAAAATGCTCAAACAATAGTCCCCAGAGTATTGTTGGACTAGTTTTTGATTATTTTTGGGGTATTTTTTATCTTTCGTCGAAAATCCCCCTGTAGGGGGACAGGCCCGACGTAATCCCAGACCCAGGCCCCCCTCGCGTCGTGAACAAGGCGTCTCGGCGGGAGTCTTCGGCCTCCTGGGGCCCTAAACCAGGCCTTGCGACCATCCAGGGCGGCTCCAGAAGAAAAGCCGCTCCCGGGGACTGTGTCGAGAGACGTCCAGATGAGGGGGAGGACGAAGAGGAAGAGGTGGAGGACGAGGAGGAGTAGGAAGAGGAAAGGACGAGGAGGAAAAGGATGAGGAGAAGGAGGGACAGGAGGCGGAGGAGGAGGGGGCCCGCGCTGTGACAGGAGTCGCGGCCTCGGGGGGGTCTTGGGGACCTGGGCGTCCCAGAGAGGTCGCGGCTTTTTTAAAATCTGTTCTACAGAGCTTTCGGCACCCCGGGGCCGGCTCTCCGCCGCAGGAAATATTCACAGACGCCCTCCAACGGGCTGTTCCTGGGCCTCCGGAGAGGCGGCGGTGTGCAAACTACCACTGGGAGCCAGCGACGTTCTGCACCGCCGCCCTGCCGGAAGGCACACGCAAAAAAGTCGTCGGAGAATGTCCGTGTACATATACAGTCGGGGCCCTGAAGAAGGAACCCTTTTGGTTGGGGAGGGGCTCCGCGTTCCTTAAGTGTTTCACAGCTTGCCTCAGGTTTTCCTTATGTTTTCGATCGGAAATCGAAGTTTAACTCATGGAAAAGAGGGGCCTCGTTCCTTTTTGGGGGTTCCTGAGGTCAAGCCCCCTACTGTATTGTCGTGGCGTAGGCTCGCCGCCCAGTAAGCGCTCGGGACCGAGACATCCGACGACATCTCCTAAGCAGCTGAATTATCTGTAAGGGCTCTAGACATTGCCTTGAACTGCGGGTCCCGATAATATGCACCACCGCTACCTCCAGTCCCCCTCCCTCCTCTACTCTCCTCCTCCCCTCCGCTTTGCTGGGTGAGGGATGGGGTTCGGGAGGTGGTGGTGATGTTTATTTTTTGGCGCCGTATTGACAACGTTCAGCAAGGGAGGCCGAGTTGCCGAAGTCGATGGTTCATCGTGTCCCCCCATCGTTGCGCAGGTCCGCGCGGTCTCCTTGGATCGGCGCTGCGCCCCCCGGACGGCTCCTCCGGCGCCGCCGGCCCTGGCGCGCTTTGCGCGACAGGGAGGGGGAATCAGCGCTGATCAAAAAACACCTTCGGCTCTGGCCGCTGTGCCGCTGGGGTGGTGGCACGGCTTTCATCATCGGATCGTGGCCCTTGGTCTCCGAAGCCTCTCGAGACCCCCACTGTCCCCCCCCCCCCCCCCAAAAAAAAAAGCAAAGAAAACACATTCGCGAACCCCCGAAGGGTTGTGCAGATATGTCTTTTCGAGTGTCGAGGCGAGGGGGAGGGTGTATGGCAAGCTAAATTAGGTGCGCTCGCGCCACGTCTGGCATCCTACCTCTCCCGCCCATCCCTTCCCACTGCGCTGCCGACTGGGACGTTCTCGAGGACCTTGGTGCTTAAGTGGCCGCTGCAGAATTTTACCCCTCGCTGTGCTGTGCGAGGAACAACAGCAGGAGGGCGAGGAGGCGGAGGAGTCGGCGGAAGGCGGAGGACGACAGAGGGGGTGGCGACGAGGCACGACCTGGATCCCGAACTGTGGCCTCTGTTAAGAGAGCGCAGCTTTGAATGGCGGAAGCAACGCACTGATCCTGAGGTGTGGCCACAGCGGGAGGGTCCTTTCAAAGGGTCGGGAGTGCTCCGATCGAAACATCACACATGGAGCAACGTTTTTTGAAATCCTGTGTGCGTGTGTGGAAAACGAGCACGAGAAAGGAGGGAACACGCCCGCGCATGGCCGGCAGAGGGAGGAGAGTAGCACTCGTATTCCCCAAACAGTGCTTGCACTTAGGGGGTCCTACTTCTCCTCTGTGGAACTTGGCCTGTCTGCCGCTCTAGCGGCTATGTTGTCGCCGTCGTTGCCCCGTCGCCGCCTTGTGGCCGCCTGTTGTCCGGGCCTGTCTGTCGCTCTGACGGCTATGTTATCGCCGTCGCCGCCCCGTCGCCGCCACATAGGTTGCTCCACATAGATTGTACAGCATAGATTGCACCACAGAGATTGTACCACATCGATTGCACCGCAGGTATTGCAATAGTCGGTTGCACCACATCTATTGTACAACATTGTTTGCACATCATAGGTTGCACCACGGATTGCACATCACGGATCGCACAACATAGGTTGCACCATTTTGATTGCACACTATATTGTTCCACCTATATTGCACCACAAAGATCGCACCACATACATTGCACCAAATTGCACACAACATATTGCACAACCTATCTTACACACATGTGTTGCATAACGCCGGCTGCACCACATGTATTGCACAACTTATACTGCGCACCATAAATTGCACAACATCGATTGCGTACATCACAGCTTACACCACATAGGTTGCACCTCATAGAGTGTATGTACAACGAATACCGCACACCGATATTGCACAACATAGATTGCACACCACAGGTTTCACCACCTGTATTGCACAGCATAAGTTTTACACCACATGCTGAATCACATATATTGCACCACACAGATGGGTCCACATACATTGCATTGCATGTAGTGCACCACACAGGCTGTATAACACAGACTGCACCATTCATGTTATGCATATATATACACATAGATATGTGTATACACATATTTGTGTGTATATATATAGATCGCACCTCGCAGATATCACCACGTCGATTACTAGAAACACACTGTTTGGGATCCACGCTGGCTAACACCGAGTACGTGGAAAAGGGGGGAGGTATGGGGGGGAGATCGTGAGGGGAAGGGGAATGGATGGGAAGGGAAAGGAGAGCGGGGGAGGGAGGAGGGGGGGCCCGCGAGCTATAGGCTCCGAGCGAGAGAACCAGGAGTCAGGGGATGGGGAGACCTTCAGATGTGGGCGTCGCGAGCAGCTCGCGACTGCGAGCGGCTCTGGAGGCAGAGGCCGGGCCCCGGGAACGAGAGGCCGGTACGGCCCGCGACCCGCGCCACGAGGCAGGCGCGATGTCGGAGGAGAGAGAGAGAGAGAGAGAGAGAGCGGACAGGCCGAGGAGACGGCTGCAGGTCCGAGGCGGGGGCGCTTGTCCATGACCGCCGCTCGGTGGATCGGTCTTCGTGGGCCGCGGCAGGCGGTGGATGTGGACACTCTTGCCCCCCCCCCCATGGCCCGAGTACGTCCATGTCCACCGCCTGCCGAGGTACCCGAGCAGGGCTCGTTTCGATTCTGTCCGACTCGGTTCGATGCGCTTTCGGTGGCCTCCGATTCCGATCCGATTCGACTCGGGATTCCGATTTTGGGCTCCGATTTCGCAAGGGAGGCCTACGAATATGCCGATTTCCGCCGATTCTGTTTTTCCCTACTTTGCTGCCGATTTCCGCCGATCCGATTCATTTCGATCGCCGACTTGACTTATCGATTCGATTCTGGGCTTTCCTGAAGAACGACCCCCAGGCTTCGTCGGGCGTGTCTTCCTACAGGAGGAATATTCAAAAATAGTCAAGAAATAGTACTGGGATGATTTTTGGAGTATTTTTGTCGATTCGTAACGTTTCATGACTATTTTTTATTTTTCGTCCAAAATCCGCCTGCAGGAGGACATGCCCGACCTAACCCCAGGCGGTGGGTATGGATCAGTCCTCGCAGCGAGTGAGGCCAGGGGGCGCACGCGCGAAGCTGACGCGGCGTCCGCGCAGGGCTTGGCCACAGAGGTGGCTCAGGCCTTCTCGGTCAACATCACCTCAGGCATCGTCTTGGCTGCATGGGAAACGGCTTGGGCTTCGCTTCGTTTTCACTTCACTGCCTGCTGCAGCTCCTGGCTGCCCCCCCCAGCTTCAGCTCAGTGCAGCTCAGACAGCCTGTGCCGGCGCTGCTCCCCCCCGGCGCTCCCCCCGCCGCAGCCGGCAGCTCTGAGTGGCCCGGCTTCCTCTCTCCCCGTCGCGCCGGGGCTCCTGCTCCTCCTTCCGTGCACTGCGGCCCCAATCTGCATACAGCGTGTCCCCTTTTGCCTCTTCGCCGGAGCAGTCGCCCTCTGCCCAGCCGCCGGCGCAAAAAGCAGTGGAAAGGGCGGGCGGAACGAGAAGGGTAGGGGGCCACATGCGAACCCTACCCCTACCCCCCCACGATTTCTGAGGGGGAGGGTGGGGCTCACTTCGCTCGGGAGCTCCCGAGCGAAGT